GCTTGTGGAGGGATGTAGACAGCCGTGATAATTACGGATGAGAACTCTCTTGGTTGATAAGAAGGTCTGCAGCTTACCATGAGGTATTCTATATCAAGTGAGCAAAAGCTCGAGATTTACTTCACACTGGAAGCAGCGCACCAGTTGTTGTTTATGAAGAGGCACACCCCTCCTCCTGAATAATTTCATATCTTAAAGATGAAATAGGGGAAACCACGCCACAGGGGCAAAATTGCAGGGTTCCCAGCACACCCTGTACAAATGTAGTGTGCAGTCTCTGCATTCACAGTAGTCTTTGTTGCATGATACAGCAACTGTGAATCCCAACTTTGTTTCAATTCATTATTTCAGAGCCAGCACCATAGTACCACCTGATTATGGCTTGAACCAAAGACAATGATCCTATTGTCTAGTCTGAGGTAGATACAGGCTTTAGACATTTGTAGCTGTTCAAGGTTGAATGAAAAAGTGGTAAGATGAAGGCACTAGAGTATAATTCTGAAGGTTGAGGAAAAATACCCTGAAGGTTCTCCATTTCACAGTGTATCTGCTGGATACATGCAGCTACCGCTGAGCAGCAGAGGGCAATAAGGTGATACAAAGAGGAGGAAAAAGTACCACAATATTATCATTTGGATAGTGTTATGATGAGGGGTCATATGTCTTGTCCAAACAAAGTACACATTTCAAAACATTAATCACATTCAGATGTCTTCAGTTACTAATAGGTTATAGTATCATGAACATAGCCTATGATGAACATTTACTATGGAATATTTACAATAATAACCAACAACCTAATATATTTTGCTTGTATATACTGCACCTCAGTATATCAGGAATGTTTATACAGAATGAACTCCACAAAGTTATCTAGATTAGATAGTACTTTATTGTCTGTTGTTCACAGAAATGTGTATTACGTACAGAAAATACACTCTGTTAAAAAAAGGATCCATAACAAAAAGAGAGACATAGAACATCTTATAGAACCTCAGAACGGTAAATTAGACAAAAACTGCTGGACTAATTGGTGTTACAGTAAAAAAAAATATGGAGCAGGAGAAGTCCCTAGTGGTTAAGCCAAATCAAATGTAACTTTCAACACCTATCTTGTGGTGCCATCTTGTGGTAAAGGGAAGACATGACATAAAAAAAAACAGCCTTTGAGTATTCTGCAGTGGCGGCTCCTGAAAAAATTCTCAGGGGGGGCAATTTTTCTGATGATTTAGGTGACCTACACACATTTTAAAAAAGATATGTCCAGCAACAACATGAAGACAGGGGCAGCATATAAGTCAATACCAGAAGCATTTATTGACTGATCTGGGGAGATGGATTCCAGTTTCTGTGACAGATTATAAATAATCTCTGATGCCTTTGTTATATTAGCTTTTGGTTGAATGTACACAACGGTAACAAACAATTGGGGGAACTCACGGGGCAGATAGTAAGGTCGCAGTGACACAGAAAGCAGTTCAATGTCGGGGGTACAGAGTCGCTCTCTTACCAGGATCGATTTTCCCTGTGACTGTCAGATCGCGGTCCGCTCTGACCAGGGTGAAGCCGGCCGGCTCCACTTCTCTGTCCGGGACTCTGTCATCCAGCCAAGTCTCAGTAAATGCCAGCAAACAGGCCTCCCGATATTCGTGTTGGAAGCGCAGATTCGCTGACAACTCATCCGCTTTCCCCCTCAGTGACTGGGCATTAATCAGCAAGGTGGTGGGTAAGGGAAGTTTGTTCTTAATTTTTTAAAAGTCGTTGTCTGATTCCCCCGCGTTTTCCACGTTTGCATTTGGGTTTGTAATCCACTCGCAGACAATCAGGTATTAGATGGGCCATTGGGATATCCATCGCGTTCGTATTTGAGTTGCATTGTAGTAAAAACAGCAGGGAGTATTGGATTCCGCTGCCAGCAGCGTTTTCATTATTTAGTCCGTTCGTAGCGGGTATGTACACGATCAACAAGATCAGTCCAAAACCCACCACTGGAAATCCATGGTTGGCAGAATGTTTGTAAACTAAGTGTACAAATTAAAAACATAAAATAACGCCACTAAGTGTACAAATTAAAAACATAAGATAACGCCACACTGCAGGTCGCAACAGAGACGCTGCTACCCGCTATTTTCTTAGTTACGTTCATGGTTACGTTACGTATGACGAAAGCGCGTAAGTGCAAGCCCTCAGAAACCCATAGAGATTGTATTGAAAGCTCTGAAATTTGAAAAAAATAGATTTTACATGGGAGTCTATGACAGACTTCTGGGCGATTTTCAACCTGACTGAAATCGCCCCAAAAGGGGGGGGGGCCATTTGAAGCACGACTTTAGCCTGATTGGACATTTAGTGGCAGTCAGATCAGATTAGAACACTGATAACACTGTTGCCGTGATATAATTGATTAGAAAAAAAATCCCTTCCTTTTCCCGTTTGGCAGTGCGTCGCCCATATCGCCCTATTGAACACACCGCCCCTGGTATTCTGCACTAGTTCAATAGTGATTTTGTAAAATCAGTAGGCTACTTATGAAAGAGTTTAATTTCTGTGTTGGAATAATTATTTTACAAACAATATGCTAATACAGAGTTGACCTGTAGCTACTACATTTCATTTGAGCTGCAGTGGGCTACTGTAGGCTACACATTATTAGGCAAGTGGTTTGATATGGTGATTGGGATCATCATTGTGGAGTTCTAAGCCCTGAGGGAAGTGTGGAATTCTAATGGCTACTTGAAATACAAAAATATATACAGTGCTTTCAGAAAGTATTCACACCCCTTGACTTTTTCCATATTTTGTTGTGCTACAGCCTTTAAAATGAATTAAATTGAGATGTTGTATCATTGGCCTACACATAATAACCCATAATGTCAAAGTGGAATTATGTTTTTCAAAATGTTATCTAATTAATAAAAAATGAAAAGCTGAAATGTCTTGAGTCAATAAGTATTCAACCCCTTTGTTATGGCAAGTGTTACGAACCCCGTGGCTTTAAACGTCTAGGGTGGATGGAGAAGAGACCCGTAACATAAATCATGCAAATTAGAATCGTGACATGGAACAGGGAGAACAAAAACTACACGACAACCATAAACTACCGTCAAACATAAAATGTTTATTTGTGAACACACGGTAAAGGTTTGGGAAAAAGGGCTGAGCAGGACCCAAGAAATGAAACAATAGTGTAAAACACCCCTAAACTGATCTTGCCTGCCTCAAGAACCGCTAAACTACTGCTAATCATACAAAAATACAGTGGGTGGTCCGCTCAGATCTAACTAGTGTTTATAGACAGTTTTCTTTCTACGGGTAATGTATGCCCAAGGGCAGCTTGCTTAACTTCCCCTTTTCCCAGAAACACACAAAGTTACCAAACAGCGTAACCAGCAAATGAGTGAGTACACAAAACACAGGACACCACAGTATCCATACTCACATACGGAAAATAGTCTTCTAACAACAAACACAACTGACCGGCTTTTAAACAATGGGATGTGTGATTGAAAAACCAGAAACAGGTGGTGCAATGCAGAGGAATGTCCACTGATTGGTCCACCTCAGCAATCAGCAGACACCCCAACGACCACCAATCAGGAACATACAGGACACCTGTGATTAGGGCAGAAGGAGAGGAAAAACACAAAAAGACACAGGATACCTGTATCTGTAACAGCAAGCCTAAATAAGTTAAGGAGTAAACATTTGCTTAACAAGTCACATAATACATAATATGCTGCATGGACTCAATGTGCAATAATAGTGTTTAACATTATTTTTTAATGACTACCTCATCTCTGTACTCCACACATACAATTATCTTTAAGGTCATTCAGTCGAGCAATGAATTTCAAACACAGATTCAACCACAAAGACCAGGGAGGTTTTCCAATGCCTAGCAAAGAAGGGCACCTATTGGTAGATGGGTCAAAATTAAAAAGGTAGATATTGAAAATCCCTTTGAGTATGGTAAAGTTATTAATTACACTTTGGATGGTGTATCAATACAACCAGTCACTACAAAGATACAGGCGTCCTTCCTAACTCAGTTAACTCAGAGGAAGGAAACTGCTCAGGGATTTCACCATGAGGCCAATGGTGACTTTGAAACAGTTACAGAGTTTAATGACTGTGATAGGAGAAAAGGATGGATCAACAACATTGTAGTTACTCGACAATAATAACCTAAATTACAGAGTGAAAAGAAGAAAGCTTGTACAGAATAAAAAAATTCTAAATCATGCATCCTGTTTGCAATAAAGCACTAAAGTAAAACTGCAAAAAATCTGGCAAAGAAATGAACTTTATGTCCTGAATATAAAGTGTTATGTTTGGGGCAAATCTAGCACAACACATCATTGAGTACCATTCTTCATATTTTCAAGCATGGTGGTGGCTGCATCATGTTATGGGTATGCTTGTCATCGGCAAGGACTAGGGAGTTTTTTAGGATGAAAATAAATGGAATAGAGCTAAGCACAGGCAAAATCCTAGAGGAAAACCTGGTTCAATCTGCTTTCCACAAGACACTGGGAGACAAATTCACCTTTCAGCAGGACAATAACCTAAAACACAATGCAAACTATACACTGGAGTTGCTTACCAAGACAACCTTGAATGTTCCTGAGTGGCCTAGTTACAGTTTTGACTTAAATTGACTTAAAAATCTATGGCAAGATGTGAAAATGGCTGTCAAGCAATGATCAACAACCAACTTGACAGAGCTTGAAGAATTAAAACAATTATAATGTGCAAATACTGTATAATCCAGGTGTGCCAAGCTCTTAGAGACTTACCCAGAAAGACTCACAGCTGTAATTGCTTATTCTAACATGTATTGATTCAGGGGGTTGTACTTATGTAATGAAGATATATTAATGTTGGATTTTTCATGGTTTTTTACAAAAGTTAGAATTTTTCTTCCACTTTGACACTACAGAGGATTTTGTGTAGGTCGTTGACAAAAAATGACAATTAAATCAATTTTAATCCCACCTTGTAACACAACTAAATGTGGAAAAAGTCAAAAGGTGTGAATAGTTTCTGAAGGCACTGTATTTACATAACGTAGGCTAGGTAATTAATTGCCTCTAGTCTAGGCATTGAACTCCACACACACTCTCACACGGTCAGTGCAGTATATGCCAGCTGGGCTCGGTTTGGCATGTTCTGACAGATGGTCAGTAGGTCACCCTTCAAATTTCATTTTAGTTTTTAAAAATGTGTTTATTATATTTGATCAGCAGTGCGTTCCATCTTTGTAGTGTTTTTGACTCTCATGAAAATCAATTCAGATGTGCTTGTGAACTTTATCCCCTCTTGGTACTTGATTATTCCAAGTTCCTCGAATGAGATTCCCTTCAACCTTACAGAAGACCTGGAAAAAAACATACACATATAAAAATATTACACCTGCACCATAAACTAGACCTTATCAAGCTTATCATACTTTGTTTGATTTACCTTCTCTTCTCTGCTCCTAGAAAGGTTTTATGTTTCTCTATATCCAAAATGAGAATGACCATGGGCCCATCCTCTTGGTTTAGAACAGCTTGGAAGTATTTCCCCCCCGAGCTCCCCGTCTTCACCTTTGAAACGCCATTGATGGTTCCACACGCTATGGTATTTCTCCTAGTCTTCTTCACAACTGATTTTATAGTTTTCTTCACCGGTGTCGTTGCCGATGTCTTTAGAGTGCTTTTCTTTTTCACAGGAGTAGTTGGAATGTTTGAACCTAATAAAAACAACAACACATTTCATTTCTCCCAGATGCCATATCGGTTTATGATTTAGCTCCATTCCAATCATAGTAAAGTTTTAAATTGCAGGTTTTGCCTCAACGTTTTTTCGGCTGTTCTGTATAATAGGTTCACTTTAATGGGACATTGAGTCCTCAAGTTTACATGAGGCTATTAATTACTTAATGTGTATTCTCTTATGGTGGACAGATGCACATAACATAAATGGTCGACAGACTGGGATGCGACGACTAACATTTACTAACATTTCTTCCGGTACTTAATAGAACTTAATCATCTGACGCAATTACGTGATATTTCTAGTTCTGGTTGTCTGAAATTACTTGATCTGCAACCCTTTACAAATTAAAATGAGAAGATAAAGGTGTATGCATACATCTTGGGGCTTCCAAGCACATAATATTGGTGTCAGATATTTGAACTACAATTCCACTAACGGTGGTCGAGGGTGGAGCAGGAAAATGAGTAGATAGATTGATAATTATATAGGATTTATTCATAGAATACATAGTCCATGATTCAATCGGTCTGTGCATCTGTGCGAAAAGAATGGAAATGTATGCTTTAAAATGGTTCTACCTGCTGTGGATGGACCTGGGGTGTGGACTGTGGAGGAGGCAGAGGTTGGGACAGCGTCTGGGGGTGCTGGGCCACTGGGTGCCAGAGCTATGTCGCTGCTGTCATTAGATTAGATTAGATTAGATTAGAAAACGTTACTTTGCTTTAATTAGGAGAGCACAACCAACATACATACAAAAAACAGGGCTACATTATATACAAATGTGCTTAATAGTGCATAATATTGTACATACTATATCATCTGTTTGATTTCATTCAGTTTGGGGAGTTCTTTTATGATGGCTGGCTGCTGCAACAGGGTCAGGAATCTAGTGCATTTCTCATCTCCTCCTTTCGTGATGAGTGTATCCAGCAGACCGATGATGGTTTTCTCTGGAGTTAATTCACTGGCAATTTTCAGTTCCATGTAGACGCGTTCAGTCACCAGTTCCTCCTGGTGTACATGCTGCAATATGAAACTGGCTTCCACTGGCAGGATTCCCATCAGAACTGTCTTTAACTTTAGCAATTGATCCATGCTGGACAAGAAAGAGAGTTTTTTTTTTTTATCTACTGTTTAGGCAATGAAATGGGAAGCAACTGAATTGAAGAATTTAACTTAATAAAACCAACATTTGCTATATGTTTGGAATCTAATCATTTATACCCTACAATTAGCCTACTGTAGGTACACTAAAAAGTATGTGGACACCCCTTCAAATTAGTGGATTCTGCTATTTCAGCCACACCCGTTGCTGACAGGTGTATAAAATCGAGCACACAGCCATGCAATCTCCATATACAAACATTGGCATTAGAATGGCCCATACTGAAGATCTCAGTGACATGCCAGGAGTACGCTACCTGCCCCAATGCATAGTGCCAACTGTAAAGTTTGGTGGAGGAGGAATAATGAAAAATGTATGCACTCACTAATTGTAAGTCGCTCTGGATAAGAGCGTCCGCTAAATGACTAAAATGTCCCCAAAAAAATGGTCTGGGGCTGTTTTTCATGGTCACAGTTAGGCCCCTTAGTTCCAGTGAAGGGAAATCTTAATGTTACAGCATACAATGACATTCTAGACGAGTCTGTGCTTCCAACTTTGTGGCAACAGTTTGGGGAAGGCCCTTTCCTGTTTCAGCATGACAATGCCCCCGTGCGCAAAGCGAGGTCCATATATACAGAAATTGTTTGTCGAGATCAGTGTGGAAGGACTTGACTGGCCTGCACAGAGCCCTGATCTCAACCCCATTGAACACCTTTGGGATGAATTGGAACGCCGACTGTGAGCCAGGCCTAATCGCCCAACATCAGTGCCCGACCTCACTAATGCTGTTGTGGCTGAATGGATGCAAGTCCCCGCAGCAATGTTCCAACATCTAGTGGAAAGCCTTCCCAGAAGAGTGGAGGCTGTTATAGCAGCAAACGGGGGACCAACTATATATTAATGCCCATGATTTTGGAATGAGATGTTCGACGACCAGGTGGCCACATACTTTTGGCCATGTAGTGTAGTAGGTAGGCATACATTCTATTTCAGTGAAACCCTTAGCCTAGTTCTTCATGATTACATTATTGATAATGTAGGAATTTTTTTTTACAAAGAAAGACATAGGAGAAAACTGAGGATGGATTAACAACATTGTAGTTACACTTCCGGGTATACAAGGTGGTGTATTGAATACACAGCGGTACAAATCACCTCAAGATACAAACATAATAATCAATATCAATAAGTTAGACTAAATATTAGCACTTCATATATTCGAGGGTAATAACATTCAATCTGGATAATAACACAAAACAAATTATAAGGCTAGAGAAATGTATCAACAAATATTACAACAACACGCAACACCCAAACATGACGGAAGATAAACGAGGAGAATCAATCTCCAAGAGAAAACGCGACTCCTCGACTGATACAGATGATTTATGCTTTTCACCACTGGGACTGGTAAGTGTGGAAAGCGACCTGTTGAAGTCGATAAATGACAAACTGGGCATACTAGAGTTGGTCAGTAATGATGTAAAAGAGTCGAAGGCGAGTCTTGAAATGAGTGACGGAAAAGCTGCGATAATGGAGAGTGATACCAAAAAACTAAAAGGGACAGTCACTAGGATGGAAACGGACGTTAAGGAACTTAAAAAGGAGAACAACTTTCTGAGAGAAGCCTTACTAGACATACAAACTAGATCGATGAGAGACAATCTAGTACTTACGGGTATCCAGGAAAAAGAAGGAGAAGTTACAGAAAAAATTGTGAAGGACTTCTTACTTACAGCGCTTCAAATCCCACTCGAGGCTGTCGACAAAATCCAACTCGAACGTGTACACCGTTTCGGACAAAGAGGACAGAGATATGAGCGTCCAATCGTTGCCAAATTTGCTTTTTTTAAGGATAAAGTAATGGTTAAAACCCTAGGTAAAAGACTTGCTGGCACGAAAATAGGCATGAATGATCAGTTCCCGATGGAGATTGCAGAACGGCGCAAAGTTCTCTATCCAATCTTCAAGGAAAATAGATTAAAAGGGAAGCGTGTTGCTCTCGTTGTCGATAAACTGTATATTGACAACCAAATGTTCCGCGACACAAAGACTACTCCATGGCTATTCTGAAAGTTCTAATAGAGGAGTAGAATAATGGAACACCCAATACTAGCCATGGTAGGGTTGTAATAATAAAGCACATTTATAGTAGGTATAGTATTTTATAAAGGGAGAAGACGGTATTACAAGAAAAGATAACAAGCAAAATAATACATCTTCAAATACAACTAAATTAGAACACAAGTACTCAATCAACATAGTGGAGATAAAAACATAGAAAAGAGAAGACATAGAAGGCACAGTATGTGGGTATGAATTGTGATGGAAGGTGTGGTGTGCGTTTTTGTGTTTGAAAAAGTGTGGAGTTAAGTGAGTGAGAAAGGAAATGGTTGCATATCCCAGAACCAACGTGTGTCTGTGAGCAGGGGTTGTGAGAGAGAGCTTTCAATGTTGTGCAGATGAGGGATATACATTTTAAAATATAGTATACATCTAATCAATTTTTTTATTGTCCTATCATGATGGAACGATCCCCAACCCTATATCCTAGACACCCACCTGAGCGACCCATACACCAAAGAGAAGTCCCCATCTGTTTTATGGACCTGCTGTGAGTTGCCTATATGCAGCCAAAACAGAAAACTAAATGTGGTCAGAGACCTACTTGAGCAGCAACGCCCCCTCATGATTCTGAGCCTAGCTGGCAGGGTTGGTCCTACAAAGCCAGAGCCCCCTGATGGGAGAGCATAATATACATGGAAATTCTCAAAGCTGCTAATGAGAACCTTGACGACCTTGTACCTAGCCGGTGGGGATTCCGGTGGGGTACCCCCACCCAGGTAGTGGCAGTGCTGGCAACACTGGCTGCAGTAACCCATGGGGAGGGGGGTCACACTCGGACAATCATAGAGGGGGCTTATTATTGTGGCCCAGGTGGCACAAAATTATCAAAGGTCTGACTGCACGGAGATGCTTTGGAAAAATGGTTACAACGGGGGACCAGAGTGTTTGTGTCTCAGGTGAAGAGGGTGGATCAGATCTCCATCACCTAGGACTTGACATAGATTAAATAGATTAATCAAATCTCACATTGTTGTCAATTTTTGCTCAATCTTGCATGCTTTCTCAAACAGCTGTAACTGCATTCGTAAATCAGGTCCTTTCTTGAGTTGGGCTCTGGGATGTAACAACCGTTGAGCATCTGATCTTATGGTTGATTGTGGAGGAAAGGGGTTGAGTGTGTTAGAGTATGTGCGTGTGTGTTTATCCCACATCTGTTGCAAGGGGGTGAGGATGTTAGGGAGAATATAGGATGAACCACAATAATTGTTTGCTAAAATAATAATTGCTTGTCAAAAATGTAATGTAATACAATCATACGCATGAACTGCCAACATTATTACACATATTAATTGATAATGATGGAAAATAAGATATGCAAGATATTTGAATAGATATATATTTTGAAATAGCTAATAGGGGGGGGGGGGGGGGGGGGGGGGGGGGGGGGGGCGAAATATACTTCTCCCATGGGCAAAGAAACTCAAAAGGGGTGATGATATTAATTAACAGTAATTTCGATCCGAATGTGCAAATTGTCCAAAAAGATACACAAGGTAGATGGATAATATTAAATATGTTTTTGGACCATAAACAGATATGGCTCATTAACCTTTACGGACCAAATAATGATGATCCACACTTCTTTGACAATATATATAATAAATGATCAACCCTGCAAGCAATACAAGACTCTATTATTATGGTGGGAGATTATAATACAGTTTTAAATAGCTCAATGGATCGTAAAGGAAATCACACTACAAACAATCACTCTCATGCTCTTAAGGAAATCGTGAATGTCATGGATACATTAGAACTAGTAGATATATGGAGGCTTAAATATCCTGATATAGTGAGATATACATGGCAGAGACTCAATCAAGCTAGTCATCTTGACTTCTTTCTTATGTCATTCTCGTTGGCACCAAAAGTTTAAAAAGTGTTGATAGGGGACAAAATGCGGTCGGACCATCATATAATTGGTATATACATTACTCTTACTGAATTTCCACGTGGGCCAGGATATTGGAAATTTAATCAAAGCCTATTGGATGATAACTTGTTTTTAACTAGGACAGAGGAATTTATAACAGATTTTTTCCAATATAACATAGATACAGCGAACACCCTTATTGTATGGGACACCTTTAAATGTGCCTTTAGAGGCCATGCAATTCAGTACTCATCTCCAAAAAACTAAAGCAATTTAGGTCAAAAGAGTCCATACTAACAAAGGAAATAGAAGGCCTAACAGAACAGATAGATAGCAATAAAAACTGTAACATAGAGGCTCAAAATAACTTAGAGGAAAAACAAAAAGAAATGGAGAAACTTATTCAAGAAAGATCAAGTGTAATATATTATAAAAATAAAGCAAACTGGATGGAATATGGGGAAAAATGCACCAAATTCTTTTGATTCACCAAATGATATTTTGAAGGAGGAAACAAAGTACTTTAAGCATATGTTTTCGTTTCAGTCGCCTCCATCTCCTCTAACTGAAGCTAATTGTAGAGATTTTTTTTTCTATTGATAATGTAAGATTAACAGCCATACAGAAAGAATCATGTGAAGGTTAAATTACATAGGAGGAATTTCTGGATGCAATTAAAGACTTTAAGTCTCCAGGAAAACTACAGGGTTGGATGGCATACCAGTCGAGGTATACCAAACCTTTTTTGATATACTCAGAGGACCGTTATTAGCATGCTTTAACCACTCCTATGTAAATGGTAGATATTCAGACACTCAATAAGAAGGTCTGATTTCATTATTACTGAAAAAAGATACAAGTGGAAAATATAAAGATCCAGTCCATTAAAGAAATTGGAGGCCCCTTACACTTCAGTGTTGTGATGCAAAAAGTTTAGCAAAATGTATAGCGCATAGAATTAAAAAGGTATTGTCGGACATTATTCATTCTAATCAGACAGGTTT